CTTTATTCCTTAGCACGGCAGAATGACTCTGCTTTCCTTTCATTCAATGTTTCATCTCAAAATTATTAGCTCATCCTCCTTAAAACCAGGAAAAGACCCTCCGCAATGATGGCGCTTGACCTACGAGTGTATTTAATTTCGCTGATTTTTGCTTGGACTGTCAAAAGTTATTCGAGCAATGACGACTTCGCCTTTGATATGCTCCTAAATTTTTTTGCCAGAAAAAATACTTTCGTCCTGTATGTTTTTCCGTGCTCGAAAGAAGGTTTGTTAAATAAACAATTAATATTATACTTTAACTTGGATTATTTTTGGAACATTGATAAAAGAACTCGAGTGCAATGAAGATTCAAATATGTACATGTGCAAATTTTTGAAGAGGTTTCCTCTAATTTCAGAATAAAAACTGCTGTCCACGTTGTACATTGAATTCGTCGAGGTCTCTTAAACTGGACGCCATGACCGGTGGCGAGGCGTGAATGATCGATTTATCGATATTTCCCCATTTGAAACTATGGTAAAGAATCGATTAAGGAGTTCGTTGCTGACATCATGTGTGTCGATCCTTTTCCATCGATTTAAATGGCAATTAATTAATCGATAAATTGCAAAGCACGTCACTGCATGTAGCTGAAAATGAGGCAATTCCCCCGAAGGAGCGTCTCCTCGTTATTGAATTGAATGGACATGCTTCAAAAATTCTCATGCAGAATCTTTGAAATAATGTCAAAATTTTGATGAGCATGATTCATAAGTTGTCTTGTCTTTCCAAGGGCCGGATTAAGGGGGTGGCCACATGGGCCGCGGCTCATGGCGGCAAATCTATAGGGGGCGGCAAATTTTGCAATTTTTTCAAATGTAGGTATAAAAAAATCGGATTTAGAAAAAAAATTACAAACGAGTAAAAGCTACAAAATCTCTCATTTCCTGAAAGTATAGTAATTTCTAATTTTGTCGTCTTGTCAGTGATACGAGAGACAGCACCTTTAATTAGTCGAGTTAAGAGAGAAACCAAACACGCAATTTGGCCTGGAACGGCGCGACTTCAAGAGAAATGATAACGAGGACTTGAGATGAAAAGGAGAAGCCCTCGGCGCGGCGATCGGCTTGTAACACATATTAGCGCCTACAAGACTGCTTTAATACTTCATGCATTGCATCAAACACAGTGCGGTCATTGCGGACGGCGTGAAACGGATAACGCCTACAAGAGTGCATATTATGTACCTCACGCATTGCGTCAAACACAGTGCGACTAGCGTGCAACGCATAGCGCCTACAAGACTGCGTGAATACTTCACGCATTGTGCCAAAGACAGTGCGGTCTGCGAAGCGCGGCGGCGCTTTAAATCGGCGGAATTAAATTAATTTAAGGCGGAAGTTAAAATCATTAATCCACATTTATGTTTGTTCTTTCATAATTTTTACGTTCATTTCCTATGAATGGAAGGCCTTGTTCACACAGAGATAGGTTTACGAAACTTAACTTTCGCGCAAAGTTCCTTGAACTTTTGCTAGTAGTGTTGACAGGGGTTTCCCAAAAAATGTGCTCAACACGAGTAAACGTGTCTTATGCACCTCTCCCCCGCTGGATAGTTCATTTGATGGTTTTTATTGATGTTTCAAAACGAATGAGAAGGGGGCGGCAAAATACAGGCTGCCCATGGGCGGCAAGTAGGTAAATCCGGCCCTGGTCTTTCCAACAGGAGCTGAACTATTTTGGAAACGTTTTAAGTACATTTTCAACATTTTTGTTACAGAGGAATACGTTTGGTACAAGAAATCTATAGAAAGTAAACTAGGTGTTTTCATCTCAACTCCGCAGGACAATTTTGAAAGTGTTCTGAACTGTTGCTCGGACGAAAATGCAGATCTGGTCGAAATTTCGAAGTTGGGACTGGCAATCAATTATGACTGTACTCGCAATAAAAAAATCCTTCGGACTGTAAACGTTCTTTTTTCAATACTTTCTAAGATAAAAATCGTCAGATTAAAATGGATTATACTTGACCACTTCATGGAGCTGAACTACGTTCATGACTTTACTGAAAGCTTCTATTGTCGCTTTCAATGGTCAAAACAAAACCTTTAAAACAAATTGAGTAAATACTTGAAGCAAAAAAAACTTCGAAAATATTTCTTCGAACGTGCATTTGAAATAAATCTTCAATCCGAATCACACAAAAAAAGAGAAAAGAAAGACAAAAAGGGAAAATGAAATGAAAAGAGAAAAATCGATCAAGAGCAGCATTATTAACAGAAAATTCACCTCAGATTCAGTAAACCATTGTTTCACCTAATATCCTGGGATAGAAGTAATTAAGTAAGTGATAAACATAAAACACGAAGATAGCCCGAATAATTTAACAAGAGAAACACAAAACAATGGGTAAACAAGGCTAAAAACAGAGACGTGAAATACCTGGAACGTTTCGGGGTAGTCTCAACCCCTTCCTCGACCAGGAAACAAAAGTGAAATTAAAAAATAAATTACCTATAAAAATCAAGAGGCCCTTAAATTCCCATTTGCCTCAGCAATAACTCTGGCAAAGGCGACTCTTACATTGGCTGCATAATGAAAAGTTGAAAATAATCTTTGTTGACCTATGATCAACAATCTAAATCATACAATGATTCAACAATAAAAAATAATATACTATTTTTCATACCATTTTCTGAAGAGCATGTGTGGATCTAGGGATTTTTTGTGGGGGGCACAGAAAGATACATGACTTGGGCTAAGGGGGGTCTGGGGGGACTCCCTCAGCTGCAGAGGGGGGTTCACGGGGGCCTCCCCCGGAAAATTTTTGAAAATTAGGACGTCTTGGGAGCAATTGAAAGTCATTCTCAATGACAAATTAAATGGAATTAAATATTACAGATGTCAGAAATTTTGCTGACTTGTTTTAAAAATATCATATCTTACTGTGGGTTTTAATTGAATGTATCTTACTTTAACTCTCATGAAAACAATTATTGCGCTAAAATGCGCGAAAAATCTCAACCGGATACAGTCAAACTGCATTCCATGTTCCTTACTCGGAGGAAGCTGCTCTCTTTGCGAGTAATTTTCATTTTTCTGACATCTTTGATCGAGTACATTAGGATTAAGCCCATATTTACTACATTCCATATGCCTTTTACCTCAAAGTTTGGGTCCTTGACATTTTTGGAGGGGGCCGAGTAGCATTATGGGGGGGGGCCGNCCCCCCCCCTATTTCCACCCATGCTGAAGAGCTGAACTTGATGACAGGTCATTGAATAATGAGGACATACCTACAAAGTTTTTACTTAAAAGATCAGCTTATAAGGAGTTGCCAAGTCTCAACATACTCCCCCGGTTGAGGTATCCTCAAAAATGTACTTGTTGAATTTTTTTTTCTTTTAATTTTTAATTTTTTTTTTTAACATATTTTATCAACGATCCTGTCATAAACTGAAAGGACTCCCTTCTTTTTCGTTATTTATTTATAAAATGCGCGTACGGACCGTAGGATACGGCATACGGAAAAGCCATTTTGAAATGTATGCCACCAGATTTGCGTACATATACAGGCGTCATTAAAGTGATTCGATGGACGCCATATTTTGTGTCAGAACGCCATTCAATATATATCGCATCGATTGGTTCCATTTTTTCAGCTACTCGTCATTTTTCTCGAATTTTGAGATCGCAATTTTGTTGCCCAGAGACTAAAGAATTCACTTACCAATTTTAACAACTAAATTCAACGTATTAAGGGCGTGGTTTTTTTAGAGGAAAAATATCGCATTCGACACAGATATCGAAACTGCACTCGAATGTGATATTTTTCCTGTAAAAATACCACGCCTTTAACACGTTGAATTTAGTTGTCAAAATTGATATGTGAATTCTTCAGCCTCCTTTGCGTTTTGGGAAAAGAACATCCTCCTTGTTGAAATAATCGCATTTTCCTTGAGGCTTTAAATTATAGGTTCTCTCAGGAACCTTGCGGAATAATGTTTTTAGGCAAGAATAAGAAGAGTCTCTGTTTAAAGAGAGTAGGTACTGTTATAAATGTAAAAACATACATGTATACATGTACATGTTTGTAACACATGTACATGTTTTTACATATATTACGGTACCTACTCTCTTTAAGGTGATTCGATGGACGCCATATTTTGTGTCAGAACGGCATGCGATATATCGCATCAATTGGTTCCATTTTTTCAGCTACTCGTCATTTTTCTCCAATTTTGAGATCGCAATTCTGTTGTCAGGAGACTAAAGCACTCACTTACCAATTTTAACAAAGAAATTCAACGTAATAAAGGCGTGGTTTTTTCAGAGAGAAAACATCGCATTCGATACTGATATCGAAACTGCACTCGAATGCGATATTTTCTCTCTGAAAAAACCACACCTTTATTACGTTGAATTTCTTTGTTAAAATTGGTAAGTGAGTGCTTTAGTCTCCTGACAACAGAATTGCGATCTCAAAATTGGAGAAAAATGACGAGTAGCTGAAAAAATGGAACCAATTGATGCGATATATCGCATGCCGTTCTGACACAAAATATGGCGTCCATCGAATCACCTTAAACAGAGGCTCTTCTTATTCTTGCCTAAAAACATTATTACGCAAGGTTCCTAAGAAAACCTATAATTTAAAGCCTCAAGGAAAATGCGATTATTTCAACAAGGAGGATGTTCTTGTCCCTAACTGCTTAAATAAAGGCTAATGGATAATAAAGGGACTGGAGTTGGAGAGAAAAAATAAATGTTTAATTAAAATTAACGTGCGGCACAACCTCATTATAATTGGCCATTTTATTGCGAACAGATTCCGTCGAGGTTCCTGCGGAGCGAGAGGTTCAAACTGGCGATTTGGGCCCAAGGAAGGGACTGGCTCCATGCGTTGGACATTTACCAACTCCAAATGACTTTAGAGAGTGACGTCACCCTGTTCTCTGTGGAATCAGAAACGGCGAGAATCATGGATGCCTTCAAATTTGAGGAAAGTTGGCCGATAAATATGACATTGGCGGGAACTTATACTCGTGCTGGAGGCTTCGACTGGATCCTAAACCAAACCAAGTATGAGAGACGCAAGAACATGCGTGGAAAAATGATTTCCGTCGGAGTTGCGGTGAGTTGCACTGCGATGGGCCGTCATGCAGAAACATAGAGTACATAGAGTCGTGATGTGAATGGGAGAGCTGGCGCCGTGTTCTGGTCGACGAGTTTCGAGCCCGGTGTGCGCCGAGCTTTGGTCACTCTTTCGATACATTTTCGATCCAAAATGGTGATGTAGAATACGGATTAAAACCTTTCCTCTTTGTTTGCACCAGATGATCGGGTCCCGTGTATCGAAAACAATCGATTTTGTATCGGAAACGTGACCGGGCGTGACACACTGCCGTGATAGCGAAGAGAGCCGTAAGTGCAAAATTTTCGAAATCGAGTTTTCTTCAAAATTCGTCTAAACTCTTTTAGATGAAATTACTGAGACAGCTAAAACAGCAAAATTCATCCTATTTTAATGAAAACGAGACGTATGTAAAAGCCGTAACTGCACAAAAAATGACACAGTTTTTTTTTCAAGACAGCCGTAGATGCATAAGAGCCAATGAAAACAGTGCTTTCCAGTAAAGTGCCGCCCTCTTCTGCCAATTTCTAACCTGAAAATGTGTTTGTTGTGCGTCCAAAACGCAACCACGAGAGCATGCAGAAAATAGCACTTACGGCTGTCTTGCTGAACAATAACCTAGCATGAACATGAAAACTACCCTTTTTATGTAATGGAAATAAAATCAGTCGATTTTTAATCATCCATACGATTTCTAGGAGTCTTCCGGACGATTAGTGGCAATTCGACAAAGAACGGAGACTTCTTTCAATAAAATTATCTTGTCAGAAGCTTCTGAGCCCGTGTTCTCAAAACTTCATTTTGGCACTTACGGCTCTCTTCGCTATCACGGCAGCACAGGAGTCTCGGGATTCGGGAGTTCGGGACTTGGAAAATGCTTGCGGCCTGGCGCCAGCTCTCCCATTAACATTACAACTCCATGTACTCTATGAGCAGAAATGAAGCATCACGAGACATTTTTATTTATCAAAACCTTCCGCAAAGATACTTGCATCCCGTGGAAAACCTTTTCAGAAAAGAGAGAGACAATCCGAGCAGTGGCGTGGCGTGCTTTGCGATATGTCGATTGTTATGCCATTTAAACCTATGGGAAAGGATCGATAAATAGGGTGTTCGCAGCGAACACCTTAATAATCGATTCTTTACCATAGGTTTAAATGACATGACGATCGATATATTGCAATTCACGCTACGCCACTGGATCCGAGTCTCTCACAAGGGATCCCAGCAAAGTATTCCAATGCACCTGCGTAGAGTACCTATATTAAGAGAGTATGGCCACTGGGCCCCATGGAGAGGCTTAGGACCCAAAAATGGCGGTGCTTTGTTTTGGTTTTTGTGGATGGGAGGGGGGTAATTGCCAACTTTTGACGGTTACCACCAACCGTACTTGCTGCCAACCTTACTACATTCAAGATAATTTTTCTCAAAAATTGCACACGATTAGTCTTAAAAATATGTGAAGAAGTCGCAAGAGTGCATTTGAGTAAATTTCTCGTTAGATAAGCAAAGAAAACTACATTTTGAGTCATTTTGCATTACATTAATTTATGGCGTCCGCCATTTTTGGGTCCTAAAGGCTCCATTCAGCCTAAGATGGCTGAGCCAATCAGAGGTGGTAACCCCAGTGGCCATACTCTCTCAATATAGGTACTCTACACCTGCGTGAGCTGGACACTTACCTTCCCTACAGTCTGCGACTCAACTTCGAATTTTTTCCCCTGCAGAATAGTGTGGACCCAGCACTATTCTCCCATACTTACAGTATAAGTAAGCTTAGCACAGAAAAAATTTAAAATGTTCGAGAGGCCCACAAACAACTTGTAATTGAAGAACTACCATTTGAAGTTTACATTAAAATGAGCGAGCTGAAACTTTCCTGCTCTTTAAAAATCCAAGATTAATGCAAATTAAATCGGTAATTGAAACAAACATGCGTCCGGCAGATGCGTAGAATTTGATCCCTCGAGAATTTGTTTCCCTGGTAAAAATTGGCGATAAGAGTTGCGTTTCAAAATACCATACGAATTCTTATAGCCGGCTAAAGAAGGCTACAGAATATCATATAGCTGGCTGTAGAATGCGGAGAAAATCACACGGCCGGGCTATACGAAGCGATAAAAAATTACGCCGGGCTTTACACTTTATCGCCTGGCTGTTGCTTTTTCGCCATCGATTATAAAAGGCTATAAGAAATTGTGTAGAAATTCGTGTGCTTTGGAAATCATCAAGTTTGATACGGAACCACCTTAATATTTACATAACACACGTTATATTTTCCTTTAATACATATTTTTTTTCATCAATTAAAACGAGAATAATCCATACAGGATGTGCAAATATTTCAAAATCATGAGTTGAATAACGCTGACTCCGCCAGATTAAATATTAGAGCCTAACACAAAACGGAGCGGCGACGCACTAGCGCCTACAAACCTAACATGGATACTTCACGCATTGCGCAACGCGTGAAGTATCCCAGTTAGGTTTGTAGGCGCCAATGCGCGTTTCGCGCTGGCTACCCGCATGCCGCGCCGCAGCGTGCCACGGCGCTTGAAGCAACTATTTCACACCAGAGGTATTGCACAGTATCATACGCAATTGAAGGCGCTCTAATATATTAGGAATGGCAGGCATCCATCAAGAGCACGGAGCTTTCCTCGCAAAACAAATCAAGGTACTGCGGCCCAAAAAGAGAGCAGTGGTCCAAAAACTCACTAAGTCTTAGCATCCGTAATTAATGACATTTAGCATACACTTTATCGCCTGGTTGTGAGTTGCTTAGTCGCCATCGGCTATAAAAGGCTATAAGAAATTGTGTCGACGGCTATAGAAGCTATTGGAAATCTTACAGCCGGCCGTAGGTGTATGGTATTTTGGAACACAGATTCTACTGCCAATTTTTACTAGGGTTCCTACTTCTGATACAATGACTCTACAAATTTTAGGAAAATTTCAGCTTGAAAAAACTAAAACTAATTTTTTGTGACCAATACTGTTGGTCTATTGGTTTCTTGTCGAGCGGAATTTTCGAATTAATGAATGCAGGGAACGATAATTTTTGCTCCTTCGAGTTGAATTTGAGCATTATTGCGTGTCTCCACAGTGTTTTAGGTGAAATGGTGATAGACCGTCTCCTCTGGTGCTTACTCTCGTACCTTGGCCAATAGTCCGTTGACAAGCTAAGTATCAATCATGTCTTAATAATCGACCAGCTGATCCTTCACAAGTGTCACGGTTTCAGTAGCTTTGGTACTTTTCCGTTTGCAGCTTCCATCTTTCAATTCGTTGGATGATCCGAATTTATTGAATCCTTATTACGAAAGAGACAAGGACTACTACGGTAGGAGAGATTATCAGACGTGGCAAATCTTGGCTGATATACACAATTTCACGTAAGTTGTCGAAAAATGGGGGTCATCGAGACTGCATATCCTCGATGCGTCTTGCCCACGTATGAACTATGATTGCGCTATTATTATCATGCTATTATTATTTAGGCTATTATTATGCTATTATTATTGCGGAAATTTTGCGAAAAAGTAAATCTGTAGAGAGAGCCTCAGAGTAATTGCGTAAGCATAGTAACTTAACGGATACACTGCATAACTACACGAAGATCGAACTATGTGAACAATAGGTTCAGCCAGTAAACATTTTTGCAAGACTGTGCGTTTGGACTGCTGTGCCACGATGTGAAGGTGTTTCCACGATGTGCATTTAGACGGTCATACTTGTATACTGATGGATCTGAAGAACATTGTATACTCATACTGTAGTGTAGTGGTATAGAGGATACACAACCATGACTCAAAGATACTGATAAACCATCTATCGATAGATTGTTATTCTTTAAGTAATGTTTATTCATGATTTTATTCGTCGTATAGGACAGAATATCACGTCACGAAGATATTTGGCAAGCAAAGCAACAAATCGCACGCTCTGTTCGACGGATTCGTGGGTTTACTCCAAAACTCAACGGTTGACATGGGCTTTAGTCTACTCCGAGTGAAAGAGAGAGAAAAAGTCGTGAATTATATCAGAACTGATATCAATTTACCGCCGTACAGGTAATCCTAGTTTCGTCTTGTGTAATCAAAAAAGCCCAACTCCACATCGATAGTGAAGGATTGAATGTATTTTTGTGCTGAGGTTTAGCTTGACGACTTTAATTAAGAGTTTGCTACTTTAAAAATTACAAATTTAATGTCGATAGCAAAACCGAGAAAACACGTAAGTCAACTACAGTGTTTCAAAATTGCGTGTGATGTCCTGCTAAACGGAACCAGATACGGGCGGGAAAGAAGGGGTGTGCTCGTCAGTCGAGGGCCGTAAGAATGAATGGGAATTGTAAAGCACCAGTGACGTCAGCGGCGACGAAGCCATCGCGCTTGTTCGTCGTCCACTTTAACTCATGAGCCCTGCCCACAACACTCTTTTGCCATGCCCGAGGCTCACGAGTGCCGCATACAGTTGGCGCTTAGTTCCGTATGGGAGAATGTAAAATTCCGCTTTTCCATTTCCTCAAAGGAAATCACGCCCACTTTTACATTCTTTCTTAAGCAGCTTTCTGGAGCACACCCCATCTTTCCCACTCGTCTGTGCTTTCGTTCAGCAGAAACACGTGGAATTTTCTCTCCGAATTCATTTTTTCTGGAGATATTTTCTACAAGTTTTTCCTCGCGATTCTTGAAAAAATCCTTGAAAAGACCGAGAAAAGTCACACAAAATTTTGTGTAATAAAGATGGTCAGTCATTCTTAAAGTTCGTAAATCTGACAAGAAATTTGGAATATCGGAAACCAAGATATGTTGTCCTATTTTCACCCTCCATTTGCAACGTTACTCGTTTAATTTCACCCTTCATTTGCAACTTTCTCGCTTAAGAGACCCGGTTTATTTCAGATCATTTGGCAACACTTTACTGAAACCGTAATATTGTACTTACTTTTTCATTTCCTTGAAATCATGTAAATTTACCATTGTTTTTTCCAGTATAGCATTTGTCTCCCTTCATCCAAAGAGTTTTTCCCGTTGGCGTGCTCTTCTCGAACCATTTTCGGTCCGAACTTGGATGTGCATTGCCTTCATCCTGGTGATCTCGACTATTGTTTTGGGAGTTAGTCTAAGTTTCGATAAAAACCACAGTCCATACCTAAGCGCTACAATTTTCACTTTTGCCGCCGTTGCTCAACAAGGTACAGATATGGTACCGAAGTGAACTGTCTAATCTGTAATTTTGTGACTTCTCTTCGAGGTCTAATTTTTTTTTAACTGCGATTGACCGCATCTTAAATAACCCTAGCTAACTTGGAAATTCTTCTTCCTCTGTTGTTTTAGTGGCTTTTACATAAGTTGAGGAGCCTACAGCCATCTATAGACATTTAATAAAGTGGTTTAAAAATGAGAGTTATTAGGTATAGGATTAGGGATACTTACAGCAGGGCCGGATTTTCCTACTTGCCGCCCATGGGCCGCCTGTATTTTGTCGCCCCTTTCTCATTCGTTTTGAAACATCAATGAAAACCATCAAGTGAACGTGCCAGTGGGGGAGGGTTGCATAAGACGCGTTTACTCGTGTTGAACACATTTTTTGGGAAAGCCCTGTCAACACTACTAGCAAAAGGTCACGGAACTTTGCACGAAAGTCAAGTTTCGTAAACCTATCTCTAATGGACAAGGCCTTCCATTCATAAGAAATGAACGAAAAATGAAAGAACAAACACAAAATTTGGTTTAATGATTTTAACTTCCGCCGCCGCGCCGCGCCGACCGCACCGTGTTTGGCGCAATGCGTGAAGTATTCACGCAGTCTTGTAGGCGCTATGCGTTTCACGCTGACTGCACTGTATTTGGCGCAATGCGTGAAGTATTCACGCATTCTTGTAGGCGCTATCCGTTTCACACTGACCACAATAACCGCACTGTGTTTAATGCAATGCGTGAAGTATTCGTGCAGTCTTGTAGGCGCTAATATGTGTTACATGCCGATTGCCGCGCCGAGGGCTTCTCCTTTTCATCTCAAGTCCTCGTCATCATTTCTCCCCAAGTCGCGCCGTTCCAGGCTAAATTGTGTGTTTGGTTTCTCTCTTAACTCGACTGACTAAAGGTGCTGTCTCCTGTATCACTGTAAGACCACAAAATTAGAAAATACTATACTCTCAGGAAATGAGAAATTTTGTCGCCTTTTCTTGTTTGTAATTTTTTTCTAAATCCGATTTTTTCATACCTACATTTAAAAAACTTTTAAAAGTCGCCGCCCCCTAGATTTGCCGCCATGGGCCGCGGCCCACGTGGCCACCCCCTTAATCCGGCCCTGACTTACAGTAGTTATTTTGAAAAGAAAAAGGAAGAAATCTAGAAGCCCTACACCATTTTCACGTCCTGAGATCCATCAGGACAACTTTCTATACCAGAATTAGACTGAGAACCTGGAAATTAGTCAATCAAAGAGCTGATGTTCGATCACTCTACGGCTGGATGATAAGTCCATTCTATTTGCAACTGACCACAGCCAATAAAATTCAGGCCCTAGGGTAAACTAAAATTCGGAATTCGTGCACTCCCCCCCCCCCCNCCCAAAGTTCATATTTTGTTTTATTCGTCAGCATATTTTAATATATTTTAGGGCTGGACTTGCGAAAACCTAGACGTGCAACGAATCGATTTCTGATCCTCCTTACCCTGTTGTTTGCGTTCATGATATACAATTACTTCAACACGGCGCTACTCACTGCTCTTCTGTCGACCCCACCAACTACAATCAACAATCTACAGCAGCTGATTGATAGTGGGATCCCGTTGTCCATCGAAAACGTGCCCAACAATGAGGCACTTTTCATCAAGGTAATATATTTTTTAGGATTAATACGTTTTGTAGTTGTCTACTTTAATAACAATTAAAAAAAAAAAAAAAAAAAAAAAAAAAAAAAAAAAAAAAAAAAAAAAATTACGCACATGAACCCGAGTCAATAATGGGCGGAATGGGCCACAAGGCGCGTGGTAAGAAGTATCGACTAACATGAAAAATGGTTCTCAGAAGCGGGTCCAGCAATTTGGCAACACCAGATTTCCGCCATTTAAGCCTATGTCAAATAATCGAGTCTTGTCGGAGCACCTGGCCCTTCCAAGATCGATATATTTCCAGAGGTTTAAATGGAGGAAACTCAACGCTTAATTGGAAACTTACTGGTTGCAGTTTACATTAAAATCAATCAATTCAAAGTTTTCGCCCTCGCATAAGCCAAGTCATAGGTAAAATCGACCATTGAAATAAAACTCATGCGGTAGGCAAGTATGTCGTTTAACTTCACTCAAAATCCTCTCCCTCTCGCTGATACAAAGCAACTGCAGCGTGTCTACAAAAAACATGGATCGGGTCATGGAAATAATTCCTCCCTCGTAAAATATACTCAGATCAGTTTGGTGCCTGATGAGACTCACATCAGTAGACTTTCGGGGTTTTCAGGCGGGAGTGTAGCCTGTAGCGTGTTGCATTGACGCACATACAAAAACTCTCTTTTACCAATGAGTTAAATTTGGAAAGTAATGTATTCATTACGTTCTATTTGATCGATACCAATGTTTCCATTATGAGAGAAGAAAATGGAAAGACAATTCAAAAATGAGAGCCATCTTTGCCTGTGTGTATGCACAAGAGCGCCTTTCGCTAACCAGGGCGATAACTAAGCAAACTCGGGTGTCGTGGCGTTGCATACTCGACACTGTGAAGGCAATTTTATTCTGTGCGGCAGAAGAGGTCCTCGCAATTCACCATGGCTGAGTAACAACCGTCGTCGCTCGACTTCCTGAGTGGCTATTCGCACACCACCTTCTATTTTCCTTTTAAACCCATTTATGTTATGTACATGTCTCAGGCAAATAGCAAAATCAGGCATTGTGTCAAATGCCTGGGCAAATAGTCAAACATTCTAACTTAGATTGAAATTCTGATTCTGTTCCTAATTTTAGACAAAATAATTCATTGCTCCTGCAAGAAAAAATTCTCAGTAAAAATGTGCACACACAATAGTATTTTAAACAATATTTAGCTCCTGAAGAGACACTGATCTTGAAATTTTCAGCAGGTCGTGAAATACAAAATTTCTGGAGTTTCAACATTTAATAATACATATGAGAAGCGATTGAAGAGGAAGAGACAAAAAGAGTTCGTAGGTTTGATGAGTTATTTCTCCAAAAATAGTGAAAAATCGTGAGTTCTTCGCCATAAATTCACAAAATTTTGTAGACTGTTAAAATTTGACTATTTGCCTAGGCATTTGACAAAATGCATGATTTCACTATTTGCCTGTGACATACATATACCTATTTTCATTTCCATTACATATTATGTGTGGGTCTCTTTAATAAATGACATGCGTAACAGACATGAAAATCGTCACTATGCCCTATAAAACTCAATTTGTAGAAGAACTTTCGGCCGCTTGCTTACAGGAAATTCAGTCAATCGCATAAATATCACGCCGAGCACATCATTTAAAATATCTTTTTTTAAAAAAAAAAACAGTCTAAAACGTACGACTCGCGAAGTTTGTCTCACGCATTTGTTGGTACTTCCTTTCTGCTGCCGGCTCATGCTCCAGACGTTCTCGATTCACCCAACAGCCTGTGTCACACTATCAAAATACTCCATCAAAATGTCAAGGTCAAGTACTGTGATTGGTCCAAGTCATCAAATAATCCAATCATAACACCTGACCTTGATATTTTGATGGAGTATTTAGATAGTGTGACACAGGCTACTCTGATTCTCGTGCGATTTTGCCCGCGCATAATCAACTAATTGAATAGCGAGTGCAATGGACATGCGATCCCTGATAAAGTTTTTTTTTTTAAATTGAATATTGGGGAGCTACGTCCCGTGACAGCTCCGCGGTCCAATCCCCCCGAATCGCTGCTGCGCGCCTCAGGCGTCAAACTTCAGAGTAAGATACAATATACATGTACCAAATTCTTTTGCAGACTTTCAACATTTCCATTCTGATGAAAATCTACAATGAAAAACTGCAGCATCCGAGTGGTTTTTTATCCGTGGAAGATGGTCTGGACAAAGTTCGGGCAGGGGCTCTGGCATTCGAAACCAACAAGCGACAACTCTACTACCAGATCGAAAAGCGGTTCACGGGCAACGAGAAATGTTTGGCCAAAGTCATAGACGCGTTCCCTTACAGATTATCGCGGGCATTGACCATACGCAAAGATTTACCGTACAACGAGTTCATATCCACAACGCAAGTTTCGTTTCTACTTTCTTGCATTGCACATGAAAAAAGTCATATCGAAAAGTCGGCAATCACATAACTCGGTTTACGACGTCGCAGACTTCCTGTCATAGGTACTTTATTTTTTAAACGGAAAACTACGGAAACTAAACGCAATTCTTTAAAACTGCCGTGATATTTCTTCTCTGTGCGAAAAAAAGTATGCAGAAACTTCAAGGAATGATGTCAATTTGTTCTCCTTTAAAAAAGTAACATAGAGGCGGAGATTTTCAGACACCGCAAACGAGATATGTGATTCCGGACTTACGCCGTCGATATTTCCTCTACCGATCAGATACCTAGGAAGAAAATTAAAATATAGGTTTTACAAAATAAAAAGCAAAATTAATATTTTCTAGATTCAAACATTTTTGCATTTCATTTCGTGTCTCTTCCGAGGAGGCCTCCATTTTATTAATGAACGAGTACCACGGGAACCACCAGCCTGCTTTAGTCCATAAAAATTAAAATTGAGTTATTGATATACTACAGAAATCAAGAGTGCGCTATACGAAATATACCGGTGTCAAAAAGCGCCAAAAAATGTAGGTCTAAAGAAAAAGTAACGGAGTCAAAATTTGTCGATGTCAAACTGCGTAATGGTGGCTTGAAGTTTTCAGTTCGAGATACGCAATCTCGAGAAAAACCTGCATTAAATTCTAATTGCTTTGTTAAAGGCAGAAATTGATGGATTATAATGCAATATTACGCCCTTTAGTCGCAAAAAAAGGACCATACCGATCGCAAGTGATCCTGTAGAGCAGAAGATGAAGTTTTCCGTTGGAAACTCAAAATTAAATTTGTCTAGCAAACGCTACATAAACTACTCAAATGCAAATTTTGACTGCTTACCTTATGTGGTCTATTTTTATATAATAAAGGTCGCGTATGTTAAAGAAATTTTTCGAAAATGTACTTTTTGAGATTGAATATTATTGAAACTTTTTACTTGAGTACTAACTGTAGTACAAATGAGTAATTATTAGCTTATAGACAGGAATAATGCTATTACAAGTTTATTCTCTGTTACCCACAGATTATTGCTTCTTATCGAAAGAGGCATTACGGATTACATTGACGAGCTATGGGATATACAGCCGCCGAATTGCATGAGCAGAGATTATATTCCAGCTGGACTCACCGAACTGTTAATGGCTTTCTGCATACTGGCTCTGGGATTTGTGCTAGCAAGCATTATTTTATTGTTAGAGATTAAAATGCAGGCTTACTTGCATGCTTAGAAAAAAATAGAAACAAAGAATAGGTTAATTTGCAGTAAGTTTTTCAAGCAATGATGATAAGAATAAAACCTTGGTTTTTTATTTAAAGATACATGTAAATATGTCGTCAGTGTCTTTTTTTTCAAAATGGTTATTGATTTGGACACATTGATAGCATATTCTGAGGGAACTTATCCTAATATTGTCTCAAATTTCAAAAACAAGAGACACTTCAACGCGCGTTGATGACAGCGCCGAGATTCAACTATTTATGATTGATGGATGGAGCGAGGTGTGAACCCGCAATTCTCCGCTCTAGGCTGCCAATGAAATGTTACTCGGAGTCGGGAGAAAAGTTATAGAGCAAAGCCCGATTATGTCTCTCGTGTCTTTCAGCAGCATTGCTCACGTAGTCCTTGAAGCACCCCTACAAATAAGACAAACGGAACAAACTTAACACGGCACGGAAATAGAGCAAGGGAAAAGATGCGCATTGATGACGGCGCAGAGATACAACTATTCGTACTTGATGGATGTCCGTGTTGCGTTTGCGAAATTGAAGGCGCTATGGCGCGAAGCGTGAACTCGCAATGCTCCGCTTTCTTCTCTGTTTCTCGTCTCGTGTTGTTGTTGTTTTGCATCAATTGACGCAGAATGCAAAGTTATCTCATTTCACTCTTTTCCCACTTTAGGATCTGATTTGCAGCTGTCTTAATCATATACATACCTGCTAGATAGTCATAGGTCGAAAGAGGTTTTCATAAGAGCCAACACTTTAAGAGATGTGTGAAGGTAAAAAAGACGGCCCAAAAACAGCGTATTACGTCATCTTTCTGGAGAAATTGAAAAAAAAATGGAGGAAGAACAGTTTTTCAAAATATTTTAGAAATATCTTAACATGGGTGCTTTTACAATAATATCTTAACAGGCATACTTCCATGCCAACCCAGCAAGTTAGAAGAGAAGTAAGAGGAAGAAGGAAAAAAAATAAAAAACACAATCACAATAACGTTGAAACAGATACGTTTTGAGCAAAAGAAGAAGCCAACAGCACGCAGTGTTCCCAAGCGGTCTCCCATCTCAGTACTAGCTACGCCCGACGTTGCTTAACTTCGGTGATCGGACGAGAACCGGTGCGTTCAACGTGGTGTGGCCGTTGACATGAGAACTACCAGCCGGAACCGTGCTTAGAGCCAACATTCTACCTCTTTTCTCACCTCGCCTCGTCTTGCCGTGTTATCACGACAACATGGTTGTTTCATCTACTGATCACCAGATAGCGCCCAATGTCCAGATATACTTGTTCCGTCAGAGATTTTAGCATTTTGAATTTAGTTGGACAGCCGTGTCCACAAGTACGTTTCAACTCTTGACTCTCTACAAATCGTACAAATCTTTCGCCTTTTACTAAAGATTTCCGTGGAGAGGGTCAATCCATGAGTCTAATTCTAATTTTTGGAATGCCTGGCGCAAGTCAGGCACATAACAGTTTTTCACTCCCTTGCTTATGGGCTCCTATTGGTCTGTCCATTCACCCTTTTTGGAGCTCATGCGTTCTAATGGGACCGTTATGATACGAGAAGGGGGAGGGGTATCACGAATACCCGTTGAAAGAGTAGTGTAGATAAAACGAAATAAGATTGGATGGATCAAACTGACATAGTTTTTAAGGGGGAGAAGAGGAGCTAAAAACTATTACTTCCGTTTATCGGAGGCAAACAATGAGTGAACAGTCAAGAAAAGTGAGGTAAAAAAAACCCGTAACTATCGGAAACAATTTTTGAAACCTGCTTAGTGCATGTTGCTGTTCTTGCTCAGATTCATGCGAGGTAGACCATTGGCCCTATATACTATGCTCCTCTTATCCCCCCTAAAAACTATGTCAGTTTGATACATCCAATCTTATTTCGTTTTATCTACACTACTCTTACAACGGGTATTCGTGATACCCCTCCCCTCTTCCCGTATCATAACGGTCCCATTAGAACGCATGAGCTCCAAAAAGGGTGAAAGGACAGACCAATAGAAGCCCATAAGCAAGGGAGTGAAAAACTGTTATGTGCCTGACTTGCGCCAGGCATTCCAAAAATTAGAATTAGACTCATGGATTGACCCTCTCCACGGAAATCTTTAGTAAAAGGCGAAAGATTTGTACGATTTGTAGAGAGTCAAGAGTTGCAGCGCAGTTGCGGACACGGCTGTCCGACTAAATTCAAAATGCTAAAATCTCTGACGGAACAAGTATTTCTGGACATTGGGCGCTATCTGGTGATCGGTAGATGAAACAACCATGTTGACGTGATAGCACGGCAAGACGAGGTGAGATACGAGGTAGAATAATGGCTCTATGTACGGTTTCAGCTTGTAAATCTCATGTCAACGGCCACACCACGTTGAATGCACCGGTTCTCGTCCGATCACCGAAGTTAAGCAACGTCGGGCGTAGCTAGTACTGAGATGGGAGACCGCTTGGGAACACTGCGTGCTGTTGGCTTCCTCTTTTGCTCGAAACGTATCTGTTTCGATGTTATTGTGATTGTGGTTTTTTCCCTTCTTCCTCTTACTTCTCTTCTAACTTGCTGGGTTGGCATGGAAGTATGCCTGTTAAGATATTATTGTAAAATCACACATGTTAAGATATTTCTAAAATATTTTGAAAGTAACCATGCAATGGACGTTTTTATGCCAACTATGTGCATAGGGTTTGCATGAGACATAGTTCCTTTTAGCATAAATACGTCCAAATAATGGACCTAGAAACTAGGACCGCAGGCGAATAGCATCACGTCCAATTCCATAAGATGAACAAATCCGTACGAATGAGACGTGTTTTGTGTAAGATAATGAAAGAAAAGTGCTGCTAAAAAACGGTTACTTCCGTTACTTTCTCACGATCGAGAAGCAACCAATGAGAGAACAGTCGGTGAGAACAGAAAAATGAGGTGAGAAATCCCGTAAGGATCCGTAACGAATTCTGGATCTTACTCCGTGCATGATGTCGTTGTTGTGCATCGTCAAGACGTATGATGATGCTACGTCTGCGTTGCAATTTCGTGCAAATTAATGTTCCACCTAAATATGACCCTCCCACTGATACGATGACATCGTCGCGAAACGGTGAAGATGGTTACGCTTAATGAAAATCCACTTACGTAGTCACGGAGGAAGCAAAAAAGTTCGAGTTCGAATCTGGCGGAAAATACGAGTATTTAATCATCCAGTGATAAAAAAGTGAATCAGGCCTGAAAAAACTAGGGGGAACACGCGAAATTCTGCAATTAGGAGATCGGGAACATTCTGAAAAAATTCGTCATCTGAAAACCAATGCAATGCTTATAGCGTAGACTCATCGGCTAAAATCCGAAAGTTCCATGAGCTACGCAGATGAATAATTACGGCAGGAGTTTGATTTCTTGAATCAGAAAAGACACATTTTACGACACGAAGGCATGGTTCGATTTTCGTGAAAGAGAAGCTGGAAGATGATCAAAATCGGTCTCTCTGTATCGATTACCTGAAGTTTAGCCTTGCCAAACGCGGGACTCAAAATCTTCGACACAAAACAAATTTGAGAAAATCGATTTCTTAAAAATCTGCCACCCTGCGTCAACGGTCACTTGCCCCGTGGAAGTCACAAATGTCAACAACAAGATAGATGCAACAGTTGAAATACGACCTCCCAGGTAAACAGCGCTGTGAGCCCCCATCGGCCACCAACTCAAGGAGCAATAGTAGTAAGAGTTGCGAAGCTCCTTCAATTTTTCGGGTATGCAACACAGTCAACCATAAAGTACGAATAGTTGTATCAAAGCGCCTGAATAAACTACCGCTAACTGGACGTGAGGCGCTACTTCCCTGTTGTTAGAGTGTTAAGTCCTGTCATTGCTCCGCGTCTCTAGAACCACGAATTTGGAAGTTTGAACCGGAATAGTTTAGACCTTCGTGAAAATAAAAGTAGTTTAAAAAAGTCGGGAATTCTATGTATCATAGAAACTCTATCCGGCGATATAATTACTGCACTCAATTGAACTGGCTGAAAAATGTTGCCAAATGTGGCGACAAATCTTTCTTGTGCATTTTTGGCTTAAAAGTAACCATTTCAGTTCAAAATGGCTGATTTCTTGAACTTTAGGGTCTCTTTTTGGAAAATCTTGCCAAAGAATCCTTGATCCGTGCTGATTTATTATCGCGCCAATTCCTCTTTTACTTCAAAATCGGAGTTGGCATCAGCACGTAACCGACCGGGCGTTTTCGGCCTTTAGAGTCTCATATTATTAATTATAATCATATTTTATCATATGACTTAGCATTGATAAGTGCAGGGACATATTTCTTATTGATACATCAACTCGGTTTTCAATCGTTTTACCCTAAGTCGTTTTAACAAACGGTGACACGAGTATTCCTATTATCGAAAATTCACTCACACTGGAAAAAACACATTGGATCTAGAGTTCAGACTCTTAAAAACATCGACAGGAAAAAATACTCCTGATTCAATCGGATTTTTGCTTAGATCAAGAACCAAGCCTCTTAATTTGAGCGGATTTCCTTTTGATTTAAGCAAAAATCTGATCGAATCAAGAGTATTTTTTCTTGTGAATGTTGTCAAGAGTCTGGACTCTAGATCCAATGTGTTTTTTTTTTTTTTTCAGTGCATGTCTTATGGTTCTTGTCAAAAAAATTGGAACAGTCATTTTATATTCATCGGTTCTGTTCATTAGTCATGCGGTAGGTCTCGCGTTACATCGAGAAATATGGCCCGCTAAAATTGATCATGTTCTCTCCAAAAAGCACTCTTTCTATACAATATAGAGAAAGGCACCAATGTGGTACCCTAGTGTTAAATACTGCATCCAATCAGAGGATGGTTTGAAAGCCGGGGTCCTACTTCTCAGAAACGTGTACGAATATTGAGCCCATCTTACTCAAATAAAATGAAAAGAGAAAAAATGTAAGAGAGTAAAATGTACAGGGCTGGATCTAAGGGATGGCCACATGGGCCGTGGCCCATGACGGCAAATTTAGGGGGCGGAAAATTTTGCAATTTTTGTTAAATATAGGTAAAAAAAAAACTGGACTCAGAAAAAAATTACAAACGAGAAAAGGTGACAATATCTCTCATTTCCTGAGAGTATAGTAATTTCTAATTTTGTCATCTTTCGGTGATACAAGAGACCCTAATTAGTCGAGTTAAGAGAGAAACCTATCACGCAGTTTGGCCTGGAACGGCGCGGCGGAGAGAGCAATGATGACGAGAACTTGAGACTTGAGATGAACAGGAGAAACCCTCGGCGCGGCGGTCGGCATGTGACACATATCAGCGCCTACAAGACTGCATGAGTACCTCACGAATCACGCCAAACACAGTGCGGTCAGCGTGAAACGCATAGCGCCTACAAGACTGCATGAATACTTCACGCATTGCGTCAAACACAGTGCGGTCAACAGCGGCAAAATGCAGGCGGCCCATGGGCGGCAAGTTGGTAAATTTGGCCCTGAAAATGTAGAGAGTAAAAATGTCGACACTTGACCACCTTATTGACAGGAAAATTCCATCGTGTGTGCGTGATTGAATCGGAGAGCTTTTTGTTAATTCGATCGTTTAGATGTGTCATGTGTGTCATAACGTCGCGCTATTCTAGCGTCACGACGTGCCTCCATTTTGAGATGAGCCCTACTGTTCGTTTAACTCCATTTTTCTCGCGGCTTGCCTGAAAAAGGAGCTAGACGTTTGCTCAGAGTAACCGCGATAATTGAAAAAATTTGGACATGAATACTCGCGTACTGATACTCCGCTTAATTTGATAGAACTCGAAAACAGCTGTTAATTACCGATGCAGTTGCAATGCAAACGTATTGTTTGATGACTCAAGGGTGTTTTTATCGTCCCTCCAGGCTATTTTGAAGGGGAAAAATCGTCACTCAAAAGAACGTATTGTTTGATGACTAAAGGGTATTTTTTATCGTCTTGCCAGACTATTTGAAGGGAAAAAATTTTCACTCAAAAGAAATTTAGGTATAAGTATTGAGCCCGTGACTCGAACAGTTAATCGTGCGGCGACATGTTGAGGCGACCTCCTCTGTTGTTTTGTGCTTTGTGCGCGTTGTGCGTTTTTTCAACATCGGCTAGCGCCAAGGTAAGATACCGGGGAAAATTTCTAAAATCCTCCTTTTAGATCTCAAATTGATAAAAATGTCATTTTTCTAAAACAAAAAAAAACCGGTCCACTCGATCATTTGAACTAGAAATTAAAGTATGAATACTTACAGGTCTTTAAAACTTGACAGATAATACAATTACAATTACATTACATTACAATAATGGAAGAGCAAATATAAAAGCCCGATAAAGTGATAAAAAGCGATAAAATATAGCGATTATTGTTCAGAAAGTTTAAAAAGGACACAAAATGCCTGGGACGTTTTAAATTAGTAACAAAGCAACGCCTTTGGCCACCAGGGCACCAAAAGTTAAAGGCATAATAAAATTAAAGTGCCAAAATATATAAAGAACATAATTCCGTCAGCGATGAAGACTTTTAATTCATTTTCACGATTACTTTTACCTCACTCCTCGGTAGACAACAGAGGCGGTTCTCTGAGTTCGGTATCACCGTTTATTTTTCAATTAAAATTCATTTTAAATAATTTTTTCTAGGTAGATTAGCTTGTTTCGATTTCAATTACATTTAAATAAAAATAAACAAAACCCAGTTTCTTGTTGTTCTTCAATTTTTTAAAAGAATCGTCGCTGGTTGGCAAAAGGATTATCACCAGCACAAACTATTCTAGGCGGGTACTTTGAGTCTTAGGTATCAGTTTTTCTGTAAATTTCCTCGTGAACTTCATTAAGTGGCACGATCCTCCGTCAAAATTTTGACAGGCGAGTTTTCAGAAGAAGTAATCGGACAGAGAAGAATAAAAAAGTAGAACATCAAGAGAACTACATATGCAAGGATCCTATCTTGAAAAATAAATTTACGGTCATTCTGAACTGCCTAGTTCGGGTTCGTTCTGGTTTGCTCTTCCTCTAGAAAATATGCGTTGAATTTTTTTGACGGAAGAGTAGAACCTGAAACGAATTTAAAATTCATCCCACTGCGATCTCCACCTGAAGTTCACTTAGGAAGCTTCTGAAAAAGTGTTGAGGTTTATCTTTTTTTTTCCTGGTCAAGGAACAAATCCACTTAATTGACAAGTGCTCTTTCCTAATACAATGTACTGAAAATGTCAAAAGATAAAGAGTTAATTTTCCATGTGAAGAGAGCAACTCTCGTTCAGCTTGATCCGACATTTTCTGCGTTGCCTTTCTTTCAACTGGACGTATCTACCAAACAGAACTATGTGCGGGTAGAAAAGATTGGGTGTGCTCATGTTGAGGTGGATAAGAAACAATGTGCTCAGCGGGCGTGACTCCTCTTTGCTAAATGGAAAAGCGGGATTTTAAATTCAGCAAACAGAACTATGTGCCAACTGAATGCGGGACTCATGAGCCATGGACATGCCAAAAGAGCGTTGTGGACGGGGCTCATGGGTTAAGCGGAGGAAGGTCGACAACGGAGACGGACTCGTTGTCGCTGACGTCACTGGCGTTTTATAATTCCCATTCATTCTTATGGCCCTCAACTAACGAGCACATCTAATCTTTCTTACCCGCACATATAGTTCTGTTTGGTAAAAATACGTCCAATTGGACCTTTTTCAATCAAACGGAACTAAGCGCCATCGGGGGAGGAAGGTAGAGGGGGGCTTGGATTGGCGGCGGAAACGGGCGTCAGGCTCATTCCGTCCTATACTCGCAATGCTTTTTCATGGCGCTTAGTTCCGTTTGACAGAACGCGCTAACCGGGATTCTAAATTCCTCAAAAGGCACTCAAATTGGCGCTTAGTTCCGTTTGACAGAAATACGTCGAATTTAGACCTGTTCACTGCCAATATCATGGTTTTAGATTGATCATGAAGTAGCGGATGCACTGAGACCGCACTTGCACAAAGATCCATGCAGACTTAAGCCGTCGGAAAGTCATTGTCATGAGGCTGTGAAAACTTTCTTGAAGATACCTGAGCACGACCGCGGCCGATGCAAGAGCGTGATTGGCTATAATTGTAGCAGACGCAAGCACTGCACGCTCGTCTTGAATGTGAGTGTAACAAAAATATTGAAAACATTATCTTTCATGTTATTGTTTTCGTAGTACATTCCACTAAAGTACCCTAATTCGACGATGAAGGACAAGCATAGAGTACATAGAGTCGTAATGCAAGTGGGAGAGCTGGCGCCACTTTTAAGCATTTTCCAGGTCCCGAATTCCGAGACTCCTGTGTGACGCCGGGTCACTTTTTCGATACATGATCGATTGTTTGCGATACACGGGTATCCGGCCATCCGATGTAAACAAAGAAGATAGTAGTACCACGTATTCCACGCCGCCATTTTGGATCGAACATGTATCGAAAAAGTGACCCGAACTCGGCGCACACCGGGCTCGGAGCTCGCCGAGCAGAACATGGCGCCAGCTTTCCCATTCACATTACGACTCTAAGTACTCTATGAGGACAAGTCATGTATGGAAGTCTCAGGGTCCAAAATGGCTACAAATTTTTCCAAAATTATTTCATGAACACTTAAGAAAACAAAACAAACTTGCTTCAAAACTATCTCTCTTTCCTTCTCTGGATGTTTCCAAAAATGTTTAATCTGATCAGATGTCGAGTTAAGTAGTCCTTTCATTTTCCTACTTTTAAGAAATCTAAAAAAGTTAAGTAGGCATTTAGACGGTGAGAAAAATTAAAAGAAAATCGTAAGCAGACATCTGAATGAAAAAAGACCAAACATTTGCAAAATCTTAAAATACCGAGGGCAAAAAATTGTCAAACCCGAAAAATATCGATCGGCGTTACTGCAGTAAAATTATGTTCTTCTGGAAAGACGAATCCAAAAATGTCATCTTTCATTAGTGATGTTATTTTTGGTATTTAATTTCTAAACGATGAAATTACGTTTAGTTTTAAAAAAAGATTATCATTCCTTTTCTCAAATTTTAAATTGAATTTTCTTTGCTATGTTAGAATGGATCAGGAGACCATCAAAGAAAATTAAGATGGTGCATAAAAAAAGCAGGAGTAAGGGATGATGGACACCAGATCAACACCCACAAACACAAGCACCACGACCACAGTCATCAAAAACACAAGAGTCACAAGCACAAAACCAACAAACGCCATGACCATACACACGAAGAACACAAACACGAGGGCCACAAACACGAGAGCCACAAACACAGGAGCCACAAACACGAAGACCACGAACACAAGGACCACACGCACAAAGACCACAAACGTAAGGAACACAAACACGAAGATCACAAGCACGAAGATCACAGACGCGAGGCGCACAGACACAAGGATCGCAAACAAGAGGTCTACGAACAGGATGACCACAAACACAAGGATCACAAACACGAAGTTCGCAAACAGGAGGACCACAAACGAAAGGATCACAAACACGACAACAGCAAGGATGAGGACCACAAGGACGAGGAACTCAAGGGTAAGGACCTCAAAGACGTGGACCATAAGGATGACGACCACAAGAACGAGGACCACAAGGACGAGGATCACAAGGACGAGGATCACAAGGACGAGGACCACAAGGACGAGGAGCACAAGGACGAGGACCGCAAGGATGAAGATCATAAGGACGAGAATAACACGGTCGAAACCCCTAAAGTCGATGATCCCAAAAACGAGAATTCCAAGAACGAGGATTCCAAAGTCGAGGATCCTAAAGTCGAGGATCCTAAAGTCGATGATCCTAAAGTCGATGATTCTAAAATCGAAGATTCTAAGGACACAGACCTCAAAGAGAAGGACCCCAAAGATATGGACCCCAAAGATATGGACCCCAAAGATAAGGACCCCAATGATGAGAATTCCGCGGACGAGGATCTCAAAAGCAAGGACCTCGAGGACAAGAGCCCTAAAGACAAAAGCCCGAAAGGTAAGACTCCTACAGATAAGAGCCCTAAAGCCAAGAGCACTAAAAATGAAGACACCAAAGACAAAGAACCCAAAAATGAAGACGCCAAAGAAGATGATCCCAAAGACGAAGACACCAAGGACGAGGGCACAAAAGACGAGGACGCCAAAGACGAAGACACCAAGGGCGAGGACGCCAAAGATGCGGACGCCAAAGACGCGGACGCGAAAGAGGAAGACTCCAAAGATGAGAATTCTAAAGATGAGGATTCTGAAGATGAGGATTCTGAAGATAAGGATCCCAAAGACAAGAGCCCAAAAGGAAAGAATTCTAAAGGCAAGAGTTCCAAAAACGAGAAACTCAAGGACAAGGAGCCAAAAGACGAAGATCCGGAAGACGAGGATCCAAAAGACAAGATTTCTAAAGGTAAGAATTCCAAAGACAAAGGCTCCAAAAATAAGAAACCCAAAGACGAAGAGCCCGAGGATGAGGAGTCCAAGGAAGAGGAGTCCAAGGAGGAGGAGTCCAAGGAGGAGGAGTCCAAGGAGGAGGAGTCCAAAGACGAGGACCCCAAAGTCAAGAGCCTCAAAGGAAAGAACTCCAAAGACAAGGGCTCGAATAGCAGAAAACCTAAAGATGAGGAACCTGAAGACGAGGACCCGAAAGAAAATGACACCAAAGACAAGGGTACCAAAGTCAAGAGCCCTACAGGCAAAAGCCTCAAAAACCAGAGCTCCAAAGACGAAAAATCTAAAGACGAGGACACCAAAGAAAAAAGCAAAAAAGGTGGGCACTCTAAAGGTGAGAACTCCAAAAACGGGGAACCCGAATACGATGACCAAGGATGAAGCATCAAACAAGGAGCAAATAGGTTTTGAGAAATTTTCAAGGATACGAGAAAATCATTTTACTAACATTGACATTTTTGGCGCAGCATGCGCCCTCGCGCTATTTTGGCAGCATAAAAAAAAATGCAATTGACTTGAATACAATGCTTAAATTAATACCTTACTTCACAGGGTTTTCTTCATAATTAACAAAGGACTCAAATGTTAACTTTGAAATATAATTATATATTATTCCTCTTGCAAGGTTATTTTTTTCTTGATTAAAACTCAAAAAAGTTGACATCTAGCGTATTTTCTATTCCTGCAACTATACCTAAGCGTCTTTCATTCCGTCAAAATTGCCGTTATAAGCTCGTTCAAGCTCTGAAACGAGTTCCTCGTTACCATTTACGTACAATACCGACCTATTGTCAAGGTAATCCTTGGATCATGTGACAGCCTCACTTACTAATTTAAACATTTAAAATTTACATTTTTTAAAAAAAATCAATAAAGGAAATTGTTGATAAATTAAAAATTATCCAGATTATACGAGTATTATTACTATGACTTAACGTAATTGATCGTATGGCCTGTGTAAAAGTTGAATTAGTTTCTGACTCTTACTTTCGAGTAGACTTTACTGTTTGTGCACACAGCGATCACTGAGTTTTCCATCGCCGCATACAGCTACGGCTTACAGTACACGAGAAACTTTTTTCTTCAAGCTTTTGAGGAAGCTGGAATTAGTAATTAGCTGAGCGAGAGAATGTTACAATTATGAGCTTTGCAGTTCCTACCGTGCATGCATTTCTCTTTAGCCCC